TTTTTTTAAGCTGAGTTCTTGGAAAAGTAAAGTATTTCAAAGTGGAAGGACTTTGCTCAGTTTTAACTACTTGGTTTTTGTGGAGATGATAAAACACCATAAGTAAGCCTGCCGGTCACATGGTGCATTGTACATCATATTACCACTCAGATATCCTTGATTTAGTGAGTTTTTTATAATATAGTAATACTTTCTAAGCTTAATGTCACATTATGATTAGCTATTAACTGGTTAAACTAAACATTTAAGACCTTATTTGTCAGGTCTTTTAATTTTGTTGTGCTTAATAACCATGCACTGGACTAACTCAGCCAACTACATAATTTTTTAGTGAAAGTAACTCAAAAGATTTATAAAATGTTATTTTGTAATTGGTTTTAAGGATTTTTTTGAGTAAAAATGTTTTTTATTAAAAATCAATAATTTATAATTAAAGTTGACTTATTCCAAATAAAAATAACTTACATAATAAAGTAGATTTAATTGATTCAATTTTTCAAGGTAATTGGTTTTCATATATATTTTGATTTCAATTAAACTTACTGAAGTTTGCTGTACATAAAGTAATTTTGATGTTACATTTTATTGAATATCTGTGTGTATATTTAATACGGTTTTTGTTTTTATGTGCTCTTCTAGGACTGTCCTCAGCTCCTTGCCTCTGGGGAAATTCTCATTCCGGCCGGTGAGGTTCGACCAATCACCCTGAAGGCCCGAAACCTCCCTCAGCCGCAATCAGGCCAGCGGGGCTATGAGTGCGTGGTGAACGTACAGGGTGTCAGATACCATGTCACGGCACTGCGCTTCAACAGCACAAGTGTGCAGTGCCAGAACAGCTCGGTATGACCCTGAACACGCTCGGTGGGAGTCATGCAGCTGTCAAACGAGAGACAGTGCCTGAGACGATCTGTTGTCAAGCTGTGCGTGGTGTATCAGTATCAGGGAATTTTTCCTCAGATGTGCTCCACAGAGACAAGAAAGGGGATGAAGGAAAAGTTGAAGTGATGAGGAAGAGTGCAAAACAGGAAAGTTAAAAAAAAAAGAAACATCTTGTCTTTAAAAGCTTTTCAGGATCATCATAGTTTCAGAGGCAGGCAGTAGTTTCCACTGGGTTTTTTTCCTCTACATAATGCAAATCACTACGTAAATTTCAAAGCACCACATATTGCAATACTGTGACAATGTATGAAAAGGCCATTTTCCTCAGATTCGGATGATTGGTCACCCCAGCCAAGGTTTGTGTCCCCTCATGTCAGGGAGAAGTGGAGCAGACAACCATAGCAAAAAATGACAGATGGTTAAAAGCCTCGTCTCTCGGCTGCCCTTTTGTCCTTTGATTTTCCCTATTCGCTCTCTCTGTGTATTCCTATATTCTTTATCCTCTGTTTCTACTTGACTTTTTTCTCTGCCTGTTTCCATTTTGAACATATTCCCCCTCAATCTCGGTTCTCTGCCTTTCAGTACATGTACGAGGGTGTGAAGATCAGTGACCTGGCAGTGGATCTCTCCATCGTATGGAACGGCAACTTCATCATAGACAATCCAGAGAAGATTAAAGGTGCCTGTGCCATCCATCACTGCCAAGCCAGACGAGTGCAAAGCACTCAATCCACAGGCAATATATAGTTTATAGAGAGCACTTCAAGGCAAGCAAAAGGCCTTGAGAGAAAGTTCACCATATCAGCGAGTTTCATCAAAGACCACCAAATCACTTCTGTGCCCAGAGGGGCAATGTGTGAACAAATTCACTCTTGGATCTTCGATTGGCTTTCCATTTTCTGTCACTCAGGTTCAAAGATAAATAATTTTTAATATTTTATTTATAAACAACACCCTGATTGAAAAGAAGGCACTAAATTTCACCATGCAGATATTTTATGTCACTTTTAAATTAAAAACAGCAGGCTACAGTGTGCTAAAAAAAAAAAAAGTCTAGAAAAAGTGATGGCACCTTTTCTACACTGGGTCTTATTTAAATATTAATATTCCATCAACTTTTTGACATTTTGCTATGTTGGAAAAAGAAACTTCAATGTGTTTCTTGGTGAGAGAAGAGCAAAGCAACCAAGAGGCACAAGGTAACCTTGGAGGAGCTGCATAGATCTAAAGCTCAGGTGGAGCAATTTCTCAGAAGAACTGCTAATTGTGTTTGACTTGCATGTAAGAGTGGAAATACAAAATTAATTTAGAAAAAATTTAATAAATATGACTGAAAATATGATACAAGCCATAGAGTGGACACAAAAAAAGTAAATGAAGAAGCTGTCAACAATGGGAACAACATACAATTTTCTGCTCTACATGTAAAACACTATGTTTAAAAATCTGATACGGCATATCACACTGAAGATAGAATCTACGCTGTATTTGCAGCATCATGCTGTGCAAAGATTTTCTTCAGCATGGGGTCTGCATTTAAAGTCGATGAAAAGGTGGATGGAGCTAAATGAAAGACAATTTTCCTTCCTCTTTATTATCTTAAAATATGTTTGACTCTCATAAAATCTAAATGAAACCATGAAGTTTGTGGTTGTAACATGTAAAAAAAAGGGTTATCTATATTTTAAAATGTGTTTTGTTAATTCTACATTTTATGTTATTCTTTGCCCACAAGTTTTTGATGCTACAGCATCTTTAACCTTTTTAAGCATTCTATAAACAAAGTAATATTATTTGGCCTTCATTAGCTAAAAAGTCATTGTTTTATATTCTCCTGCAGTGCATCTGTATAAATGCAGTGCTCAGAGAGACAGCTGCGGCATGTGCCTACGGGCTGAAAGGAAGTTCCAGTGTGGCTGGTGCAGCGGCGAGGGTCGATGCACCATGAAGCAGCATTGTCCTCCCATCTCCCCTTACGCCAGCCGTTGGCTGGACCTGTCTGCCAGGAATGTCAAGTGCACGAACCCGCGCATTACAGAGGTTTGTTACTTCCTAATTTTTGGCCTCATGCAGAAATTACTTGTGCATTGCTTCAATAATGTAGTTTCCAGCCTAGTAGACTACTTTATGTTTAGCTGGCATTCAGTCGGCTGGCCTAATGATCAACTGGCTCAATGATTGTTATTATTATTATTAGACTAACAACAATATTCAATTTATTTTCTCATTTTGTGATTCATAAAGTTGGAAATTGGCAAAAAAAAAGCTAAGAAAAACATATTGTAACATGGGTGTTGTTTGTTCAGAACATTTAAAATATGGAAGCTATGACATCATTCCCAGTTCAATGAAGAAAGTTAGAAAGAGATTGAAAAAGGTTTTTATAGTCAAATACTTTCTTTGGTGCAGTCACTTGTGTTTTCCCATAGCTGATTGATTTAGGGATTAATGTTAAACTAGTTATTTAGCCTTAGACACTTGTATTGGATTTTGAAACCGTCTAGGACACTATGTCAATGTGTAGTATTCTGAGTTTCAAACTGCAACAAACCACTGAATTTTTTCTTCCCAGCCTTACAGCCAAATGTCTGTTTACCTGAGCCTATCTAACATTTTGTTCCATGCCAACTGAATACCTTAAGTTCTTGACAGCTTAACGAATTCAGTCTGTTAGAAAGGAGTGATGGATCTTTTATGTCCCAAACCCCTGTTCATTCTCTGGAATAAGGCACTGTGGGTCATGCACGAAGATGCAAGCCTCTTCCACTTCAAAGAGCCGGCAGCCTTTGATGTCCCTGTCACATTATTAGTGTTTCTGAAGGAGCTGCAGCAGAATGAATCAACCGCAGAGTGCTGCTCGACAGCACAGGCAGAGTTGCTTCAGCATTGCTCCTAGTTCTGCTCTGTAGGTCCGAATGTCATCTGCTGGCATGGTTTACTTTTTTCACCGTGAATGATTTTCTAAAGCCTTTTTGTCCTCTGAATTAATTATTAAAGTTTATGTTAAACTATCACTGTTGAAAAAGCTGTTTGAAATAATCCACTTAAAAAGTACGTTTTCTCATTTTGGTTCTAATTGTAATCGGTCCTGTTAAGATTTCAGTTATGGAAAACACAAAAAAAAAGCACAGAGAGAGTTTCTAAGATTAAAGACTTAACCATAAGGATATTAAGAAACATTTACTGTTGATAAAAAGAAGCAAAAACATGTAGTCTGTTAAACATTGAAAGTTTGGCATGGAAGTTTTGACAGTTTAGAGCTGTTGTTACTAATATTTTCCCGATAAAAATGTTACCTACTTCTTCTCCTCTTTCCAGGTAAGCCCAGTGGCAGGACCTCTGGAGGGGGGGACTCTTGTCACTATTCAGGGCCTGAACCTGGGTCTGTCCTTCTCTGAGCTTGTGGGTAATGTGGAGGTGGCAGGAGTGGAGTGCACTCCACAGCAGGAGGGATACATCACTGCTGAGCAGTAAGTGATGCTCCTTATCTAGTCACATACACAAGTTTCCTTAATCTAACTTACTATGCTTTGCAAAAACCATTTGCATTCTGTAAAGTTGCAAACACAAACTCTAAAGTGTTTTCTGTCTATTTTAAGTGATAGAACATGATTATGAAATAGGGAAAAAATAAAATAGAGTTTATAGAAGATTACAAAAAACAGGATATTAATATTGTTTAATAGAATCCAATGCAACTACTTGATATTCACCCCTTATAGTAAATGGAGCGTAACTTTGTCTAATTTAAATTGCAATCAACACAGCTGTTATCTAACAGAGCACTATTTGATCAATGATCTGAAAATCAAAGAAATAAATGACTACAGTCATACTCAGACAGAGCCATCCACCTAAATTAGAGATGGAGCATAGATAATATTTCTCAGAAAAACAGTCAAGAAGCTCTTAAGTAACTCTGGGGGAGCTGCAGAGATCAGCTTCTCAAAAAGGAGAGTCTTTCATCAGGACATCTATTAGCCTTTGGCAGGTTGGGTAGATGGAGTAGTCATCCTGCCATCGATTCCAGCTTCCTCCTGCCACAGAGCAAAGTGACTCTTTGCAGAGCACTTCAAAACAGGTTCTATCCTGATCAATATATAGATGTCTGCCTGTTTGTTATTGATAATGGGTAAATGGCATTTTATACGACGAGAAAGGCACTATATAAATTCAGTCCTTTCACTATTTGGTTATTCAAATAATCTAGCTTTATCTGAAGATTTGTAATAAAAAAGAAGAAATTGAAAGAAAACGTATAGTAGTTCAATTACAGTAGCAGTTTGCCAGAAAACACACAAAATAACTTTTTGGCTTAAATATAAAATATTGCACATTGACTGGAATCCCAATTTAATCTAGCTGTTAAAATACAATGGTGATATCACCATACTTTAGATATTTCTTATTTAGAATGGACATGGAAGATATTTTTAGGTTTGTGGAAGATAAATGGTGCCTATGATCGTGCCGTTTAAAAGGAAAAATGGATTTTAGTTTAATCTTTTAGTAAGGAAGCCATTAGGAACAACTTAATACCCATGGTTTACACCAGAGGTCAGCTAACTTTACTAAAGACACATGCCCTAGCTCTCATGGAATACAATTTATCTTAAGATAATAACAAAAATAAACTTTTTAATCAGTTAAGTTGTCCATCCGATCTGGTGGATTTTAAACTGTATTAGAAAAGCAGATTGAAACAACCAGAGGTTATTAAATGTTAGAATATAGTTGCTGAAAACACAACCAATGAAATGTTACAATTCTATGTGCTATTTATGTTTTAAGGTGAAATAGAGGAAAAAGTTTCAGAGAAATTAATACTTCTGTAAGGCACTGAACACGATTATCCAAAGATTCAGAGAAAATTAACCCATGCAGCTCCTTTTTTTCCCCCTGTGACAATAACACTGTAAATCATGGCCTGTGTGTAAGTAAAAACCCTGACACGCCTCCCCAGGCTGCAGGGGGCTTCGCTTTGCTCTGGTGCCGTCACTGCCAAAGAAGGAGGCAGACAGTCTTTGTGTCGCTGTTGTTATGAGGCTGTCGGTACAACTGTAATTGAAATGCGCTGCATGTCGCTGACTGGAGGGACAATCTGTTAGCCATGTGTTTCTCTCATTGGCATGTAATGCGATTGGAACCAGGCTGCAGCAACTTTATTTATACGCTTGTAAAATGAAAAAAAAAAGGAAAAGAAAGGAACATGCCAGCCGTAAGCAGGAATCCACACGTGATCTATGGGAAGAAGGGACGATTCATTGGGTGCTTCTATTATATAGGAGACTTATGGTTTCTGTTGCAAAGCAGGACATTCAGCAGGGCTATTCGTTTAGCTCGCACAGCGCTTCAGAACATGACATTAAAGATGTTACCACCATTAATTTCAGCATTGGGTCAGTTGCTTTAATGACTTAAACATAACATGCTTTATCTTATTGACCTGACAGGCAATACTGACTTATTGAAGAAACCCCATGTTGTCATGGGAACGGGAGGTAATGGTGGAAGGCGGTCATGCCTACGATGGGGAGGGGTATAGTTTATCATTTGAGTTATATTGCTGTTATGGGTTTCCTATTAGGAAGAAAGATGAGCCTCTGTATCGACCCACAACTTCTATGAAAGTCTGCTTCAATCACAGCGACCAAAAGAGCATCCTCTGCCACTGAAGCTCATGACCAGTGTGACATAGTGCAGTCATCCTTTTGTGCATGCCACATGTCAGGTGTCTGGGTCGTTTTATTTCTATTAGCCAAATCGGTGATGCCAATGGTTTGGAGATGCCACCTCTATTCTTATCTCTTTTGTTTTTCACAGGATTGTGTGTGAGATGGATGCAGCTCCTGAAGGAAGCGCTCCAGGCCCTGTTAAGCTGTGTGTCGGTGAATGTAGACCAGAGCTAAGCGCACAGTCCTCCCAGATCTACACCTTTGTGGTAAATTACTAAAATAATACTTGATGTTTTGCTTTAACAAGCATTGTTTTTCTTCAGTTTTGTGAATTTACACTGGGCAATTCTCAAAGGTTTTATGCACACATATAGAAACTTAAAGTGAAAGATGATTTTAGACTTAATGTTCAGCCCATAAATTAAGGGCTCACTAGCATATTTATGACATAATTGATCAGCATGTGAGTTCTGCTTTCTTACAACCTTTTACTTCTCTCTGTTTTTCTTGTTTACTTTTTTTATATGTTCACACACTTTATCTTATACTAGAATGTGTGAAAAATATACATGAATCCACAATATGTGAACCAAAACAACATAGCATATAATTGTGAAGTTTCAGGAAAAGAATGGATCCTTTTTACTAAATCCGTATTGTAAACTGACTGACCAGGGAAAGACAGTAATATCTAAGCAACTGGAAGCCAATGGTAACTCTGCAGTTATTCTGCACCCACAGCTAAGATGGAAGAATGTGTTGACAGGACAACTAGTGGTCCTATGCTCCACAAATAGACTTTATCTACGGAGTGGCAAGAAAAAAAACACAAAACACTTTTGGTTAAAAAATAAAATAAACGGGAAGCAACAGAAAGCCAAGTTTGCAGTTTCCACTTGTCATCTTGGGACTGTAGTAAACTTTCAGATTGTGTGGAGGTTTTTAGAGGACCCGAATGCAGAGACGTAAACTGAGGTGGTTTCTTGCCGATGTAATGCAGATCCAAAGGGCAACAGAAGCAAAAGTTTAAAAAACAAAATGCAGAAAATCAAAAATCTGGAAATGTCAGTGAAAGCAGACACGAGGATCAAAGAAACAGCGAGAAACCATCAAACAGTAACTGAATAGGAGGAGTATATATGCCAAACAGAACAAAGACTGGAGTAATTAACTGATTGGGAGCAGGTGTGGACAGAAGGGTCTAGAAGGGAGCTAAGGGAAGGAGACTGACACAAGGGGGCAACAGAGAGTAAAGAAGAAATATATACTGGTAAGAACTCAAATACAATCAGAAAACAACAAAAAAGACACAAAATGGAAATGAAACCAATGAAAACTCAAAAGGAAATCTTAAACAGAACCAGAAACATGACATAAACATTCAGGAATAAGTTTAGGTCGGTTCATCCTGACTTTAAAAGGCGATTGTTGCAGCAAAGCTGGTCAGAGCTGATGGAGAGATGTAACTGTTGTTGTAGATGTAGTGCAGTCCTTAAAGGATATGAAGCTGAAGAGCAAAAGGCTACAATAGATTTGTTAAGATCAGAGCAGATCATTGTGTTGGAATAGACTAGTCACTTTTGAGAAATATGTTTGAAAGACTGGAAAACTGAAGTGTACATATGCTCTCCATTCACTCTGACTCAGTTTGAGAAATTTGACTAAATAAGAAAGGGAGGTTTTTATCATCTAGAGGTGCAAAGCAGACACATACCCCAGAAATCACACAAAAAAAGTTGTTACTTCGTACATGCTAGAGGAGGATACATATAGAGACCAAAACTCTACCATTGTTTTTCCAATTTTAAATGTTTTCTTGCTTGGTTAGATTGTAACAGAAGCCTAGAAAACAGAACTTTAAAACTAGGGATAGAATTCCATAAAGAAAACATTCCTAATCAAAATTACGGAAATGCTTTGATTTATAAGGGGAAAACTAGACAAATAGAGTCCATATTTCATAGGGTTTTTGTGTGTACCATAGCCTGATTACATTTCACACACAAATCTTACCCTAGAGGAAAAAATATTTTTTTATAGGCAAAAAAAAAACAACAGAAAGTTGTTTACAAAACTACCGTATTCAAACACATGAGGACTGTCAAATAAAGCACAGGTTTCTGTCAGCCGCGCATAGAGCAGAACATCTAGTTCAGGTTTCCTGAGTAAAAAGAAACAGCCTGTTAAGTTCAAAATGTACTTAAAATGTGGAAACAAACCCCAGAGAAGCTAATCTGAAAGCTGCGGTACACAGGACTACAAATATAACTGAATCATGATTTTTTTTATGTTAAGCAGACCTTAAAAGAAACACACCATATATATATATATATAT